GAATACCGCCCTCCTGGCTTCGTGTCTGGCCTACAGCGATGTGTTGATTTGAATGGAGGCCATTCTCTAAAGAGCGGTCCGACATGGCATTGACATCATCCATATGATTAGTCACATTCGGTGCTGAGCCTGAAGCACCACTGACAATACTTGAGGTCGATCGCTGAGCTACAATCCATAACTCCGGGAGGTTTGAGCCTCCAGAAAGATTTATGCTGCTTCCTGATGAGCTCGAAGTACGGATCATGGAGCCTTTCATACCATTATCGCCCTCTTGGACCACCGTCGGCAACTCTACATCGATAATACCATCATCCCCTCCCATGGTCGGTTCTCGCCCGTCGTCATCGACTCCTATAATGGAGTGATGGAAGGCCGCATTGTGCTCTGAATCTGGAATCGGAACGGATGGCCCACCGTTGTCACCATCCCTGGAGCCCGCCCCTCCTCCCATACCAGCATCGCCTACCTGGGATAGAAAAATTCTGAACTGGTCCTGCACATTTACTACGGAGTGTCTTGGTCCATTTCCAAAATTAGGAAGTCCAAGCTGACTCCGTGTCTCATTCGCAATTTTGCGGTGCCGTATCATCGTACTTCGAGCAACAGGCTTTCCGACGTGATTGCACTTACACCTATACGCCGCTAGACAAATGTACTTCTTGTCACCGACCGCGGCCATGATAAATGAAAGGTAGACGGGGAGCTGTTAGTTGGGAAATAGAATCTTAAGTAGATTGTTTGCAGGGAAGTCAGAAGCAGGTGTCACCTCTTCTTTGCCAGGGTGAAAAAACTTAACCTGTATTCGCGGGAGTATCTCGCGTGCCTCTTCTTTCTGCGCCGTGAATTGATCCTTCATGTCCAGTTGTACGAGATTGTGGGGAATAAATCATGTCTGAGTACACGATGTACACGAAGCGAAAGATCGTCGACTACAGAATACCCGCCCTCTTTTCGCTTCGCAAAGAGCACAACGCTTTGCGTTTCGAGAAGAAAATACGTCGGGGACACAAACCGACGCGATCATTCACTCCGAGTGAATGTGATTTTGGATAGCAGACCCATCGCCAATGTCCATTGTTACAACCCCCAACTCTCACTGTCACCATTTGATTTTCACCTTTCAGCGAAATGCAGGCAGATCTGCATGAGGGGCTCCTGCCTGACTCGGATGTCCGCAAACGCATTGCTGAGCTCCTGCCACGGCTTCTCCCGACGGGTCTTTTTCCGAATGATGCGAATGTTGCCCGTCCTCCCCCGCTCCCTGAAAGCATCGCAAAACGAACGAACACAAAGAAAGATAAGCGAAACCCCACAGTGCCAAAAGGGAAAGATACCAAGGCTTACTTCAATACTATCCGAGAAGTAGGGAACCATGTCCGTGACCACAATGAACTTCACGCCAATAATCCGAAAATGCAGTATCGTTGGTATGGCCCTGAAGTTGATGACAAAGAACGGACGGAGACGTTAATGCGTATTAGGACGATTTGGCTCCAGGAATTCTAGGGAAAATGTATGGTGCAACGACTTACGACAAGATTCATCGCTCGAAGCCACATCATCTGCAACTGCTCGTTCTTGAATGCTCTTTAGATCCAAACTTCGACCCTCTGACGCAGGGCGTTCGCAACTTCCCAACTCGCAAGGTTGTCGGTACGAAGCTGACATCCAAACGAAAGGTATGCCTTGAGGCGGTAAAACGGGAGGCTCGCAAAGGTCGTGAGGATTCAATCATATTAGAAGAATTGGGCGGAAGCAGCCGTGGATCACCTGTGGAATGTGGTGATTCGACAAACATCGATGGGTCAATGAACATTGAACGAGAATGGAACACAAGAAATGGTACAGCCGTATCCGTGGTTGATGATCTCCCGAGAGATGTTGTTCAACAGTACATGCCGGATCGCGCCGATGATGACAAGTTGGGGCCAGCAGACATACATACTCGCGCAGTTACCTTCACTGACACGCCTGTCTCGTTATATCACACTCGCAATACAGATCTGGAGACCCGAAGAATTGTTCAGAATGATGGTGTAGATTCTAGATTAGAAGATAGGAGGCATATGAATCCAAATACGTATGATGCCGCCGCAGATGATATCGGGATACGGGGTACTCTGAATGTCGGAGTTGCGAACGCACCTAATTCGGGAAGGCCCAAGACGGCAGTTCAGGGCGAAGGAGAAGAGCACGCCTCATACAAAGACATATCGCATCGCCGATCATGTTCCAAGGCTTCGCTCCATGCATCTCTAGCGTCTCGTGTGCGCGCAAACCCCCTCGTAAGAGGCAAGGGGAAGAAAGGTGACATATCCAAAAGCAGAGTTCATCGAGACCGTGTGCGAAGCACCCAACGGAACAACGGAAGTAATTACGTTGATAGAGCTGCAGGTCAGTCCTCCGCAAGTCCCAAAAAGAAACACAGTTCATCTGCAAAACGAACGAAAGAGGCGGGCAAGGATCATGAAGAAGATGATGAGAGCACATCTTTTGCTGAATACATTGCCTGGAAGGCTTCCCAGAAGGCGAAAGGTCGTACGCATGCCGGCACGGCCGCCACGAGGCGCAATACGAGTTCCAAGTTGCAGAGGAAGAAATCGCGCTCTTATGAAGAGTTACATACGTCTGAGGATTCGGTTTAGCGCGTTCCTCAACTGACGGAGAATGCCAAAAAATGTGAACGCACCCGTGAACTTGATCAATACTCGTTGGGAAACATTTGCAAGTGGTGTAGAAACTTGAGACGAGACTTTACCATCTGATCTTGTTGAGATGGCATACGAAATTTCCCTGCCTGGCCCTGCTAGTTAGTTGATGCTGGGGGCGCAAATAGGATTAGTGAATGAATGAAACAGTTTCCTTACGGAAGGCAAATCCCAATTGTCAAAGCAGGGAAGGTTAGTAAAGGTAGCAATGATATTACCGAAAGCGACGTCCACCGTAAAAGGGCAGTGTTCATGCATGGAGGAGCGGGGTGTACAGTAATTAAGACTAGTGCAAGAGGCGCAAGCCAGGGGGGGGGCGGTTCACAAAAAATCTCGGCGCGGCGCGACGGAGATACAGGATCTGCCGCGGGGCGACGGGGGAGCCGAGGCCGGCCGAACTAACATGCAATCCGGCGGGGCGTGTGTAGCCGCCAGCGTCGCCCGGGCGCGTCGAGCGGTAAGGAACCGGCGCTGTCTGCGCGGGACGCCGCGCGGGCAGCGCGGCGCGTGTCGTCCCCCCGGTGGGGTGGAAAGCGTCACGCGCGTGACGGCGTTCCAGCGGGGGGAATCTTGGGGGGCGCGCACGGCATCATACCGGCGCGGCGAGCGCCGGGCGCTGCGCGCGGCAGCGATATATAAGCCGCACCTTGGCGTACGGGGAGCGCTCGCTCTGGCCGGCAGCGGCGACATCTCAGCAAAGCACGACGAAGCATGTGTGAGCGGGGGCGAGCATCCGAGGAGTCTACGGGGTTCCGGCTGGTGGCGGGCGGGGGCGGGGCGACTGCGAGGGGGGCGGAGGCGGGGCGCTGGGCGGCAGGCGGGGACGCGCGCGGGCAGGCCGTGGGGGACGGGGCGCTCGCAGCGGACGCCGGGTGTGGCAACTGCGGGCGGCCGGCGGGATGTCGACGGCCGCGCGCGACGGGGACGCGGTGTTCTGCTCACGCAACTGCCTGTGG